CCCCCCGACTTGGGTTGTGAGCCGCCCTGAGTCCATTTAGGGAAAAGGGCGGCATAGAAATATAATAAATTCAATTCAATTTTAAAAATATTTTCCTAACAATAACAATCCTGTGAGATGTTTTGGTCTGCGAGAGAATGGTTGGCCCAAGTCACTACCACATAAGGTTCTATGAAACTCAGTTAATGTTACTGCCTAATTTTTGTTTTGATGAGTTTGATTTTAAAAGTTTTAATATGGTTTTTACATTATTTTATTTTTTAATTGGGAGCCACCCAGAGTTTGTTACAAGATGGGTGGCTAGTTAAATGTTTTAAATATATATATATATATATATATTATTGGACATTGTAGTTTCACTTTTTTTCCAACTGTTGCCCATTTGAATTATCAGTTCATAAAGTGCCATCTGAAAGCAAAATATGTCCATGTGGTGTGCAGGAAAGTTGATACTAAAATAGTTTTCTTCTTACATTTTCTTAAATGTAAGTAACTTTAGATGAAATGCTAACTCATGGATGAGCAACTCTTTTTCAGGGTCCATTTTTTATATTATATTCTATATAGAGAGCCAGATGAAAAATTGTTGCCAAAAATTGCCAGTGGCAGAGACCTAAGCAGTCACAAAAATTTCTTGAATGAGATGTTTTTTACATTCATGCAGCTTGCAGTTAATAGTTTTTAAAACAAAATGAGATAAAATTAAGGTCAAGGAAGGATATATCCCCACTCCCACAATATGCATGTGGACATTAGTGAATACATTTTCAGAGAAATAATGCTTCATTTAAATCTCTGACTAGACTTTCTTTGCACTTCCTTGTGCAGGGAAAAGTTTGGGATTCTGGATAGATGGTGGAGCTGAGAAAGAAGCATATGATCAGCTAAATGTAGAGTTTTCCTTACTGAATCATATCTCAGAGCTGAGGTTTCAATTATGAAACTAATTTAACTAATAACTAATGATTGTAAGCTGCCCAGAGTTACCTTATGTAAAATGTGGAGAAATAAATTTTATAAATAAGTAAGTTAAGTAATTTTATTCATGAAACAGTCATTTTAACTTTGAAGTCGAACGTGCTTCAAATTGAAAATACTTTACACCACTGCAAGTACAGTTATAAATTAATCACAGGATTTCAGCATTTGTTACAGACTGCTTTTACTCAACTGTATATTTTATATCAGAGTTTACTACATTTAATACAAAAGGAAGCTTAATAATTTATCAATACAGTTTGTAAAATGTTTTATGATGGTCATAGCAGTGACTGCTTGTTTTATTCCAGCACCTCAGTCTCAAGTTATGCCAGATTCCAAACTGATACAGCATATGAATGCATCAACCATGGTAAGAATATGTAATTCATAATGTTTTAACTGTGCATAGTAAAAATCAGATAAGGCATTATAGTTCTCTTAACAACGTGTTTTCTTCCTACGTCCACTATTTTAGCCAGGTTCAAGATTTCAGCTGTTTATTGTTAGGAATTTGTTTTAACAAAACAAGATTTAAATAGAATCATCTACTGCCTTCACATTCATGTTCTCTTAAAAGCAACCATCTTAAGCTAGTAAATCACTCCCATTAAAATTGGTCTTTTCTAATTAATTGACTAAAAGAATCTATTTTACTGTTAACTGGAAAAAATGGCTTAAATTATTTAAAGATGCTTCATTGACCCAATACAAAACAAAATGTTTTCTTAAAAAATAGAATGGTTGCAAAATCTGAGAAATCTATGTTTTACACTATTAGGTTTTCTCTATTTTTAAGCACTTTGCCCTAGGCTTGTACTAATGGTAATTACTGCTGTCAGCTTTGCACATCTGTAATGTAGCTAGAATTAGTTTGGTTTTAGAAGCAATATAATTTTTCAAAAAATGGCAGGCGAACATTAAAAATAAATTCATCTTTGCATTCATACACAAAATGCTGCTTAAGATAGGACATTGCATTTAAGCTTCAGAGGTTCTTCGCTTGAATATTTTAAAAATTACATCAATGAAGTATAGTAATAGGGAGCTCTGGTCTACATTTTTATATCTTATTCTGTTTGCTGCTTATTATTTAAATTATGCTTAAAATAAATGAAATTATAGGATCATGTAATTATAATTAAAATTTCATGGGCTGTTGTAAGCTGTTCTTTAAGAATGGGTCAAATCTGGGTCAAATAATGAGATTTGGAGGTGGGGGACAGAGTTGCTGTGTTTTGCATAGCTGACAACAGCATGCATAGGCAACTTGTGCTGTGTTACTAAATATGGTTCTGTCTTATTTGGACTTAAATCTATCAACAAATTGAATAAATTTCAGTTTGATTCCTACGTTTGAAGAGAACATAAACATTCAATTTCACTTGTTATCTAAAATCCAAATTATTGTATAAATATGTGTAAGAATGTATACAAAGATTTATGTGATGTTCTACTTCTGTCAAGTCAATTTATTTCATTAAAATTAAAAATAGAAAGTTACTTTTTAAATGAAAAATAAATGTTAAATGTGGCTAAGTTTAACTAAAATAAGAGTAAAATGTATTTTGCATATAATAATTTATAAATCTCTGTCTTGT